CTTTAAGGTCTGCAAAGCACTTTCCTCTCAAGGAAGCCCCGTGAAAGAAGATTTATCTTTGTTTAACCCAAGAAGTTCAGAGAAATGAAATGAAATTTTCCCCTGGTTACATAATGAGGAAATATCAAAGCTAGGACCTATTCTGATCCTAATCTCAGGGTCCTTGTGAGTGTTCTTCATGCTGTTTCTGTCCAATTAAACTGTTAGCAATGAATTCACTTTGAGGAAGTAAGAAGTAACAAGCAAGTCTAGTTTTCAGTTGGGTTTGTTGTTGTACCTGAAACAAATAAGGAAAAAAAAATGATCATAATAACTGCCCTTTGGGTATAAAATGACACAATGAACAGAGATGATCTAAGGGTCAGGAAGGCATGGGCTGAAGTTCCATTTCCGACACTTATTAGCTGTATGGCCCGACTCAAATCCTTTCTTCTCTCTGGGACTTGGTTTCCCTAACAGTAAAATGAAATGGTCAGATTAAATGACCTCTAAGATCTTTTAAATCTCTAAATCTGTGATCTTCCTGTGGTATTGTGGGCTTGTGGCCTGGGCAAGCAATTTAACCTCTTGGTGCCCCAAGCATAAATCTAAGACTATAACTTTACACAACAATTGCCATTTTGAATGGATAAGAGAGGGTTTCCTTACCACCAATTAAATTACAGATTTTGACAGAACAAAACATCACTATACAAAAACAAAACAGGAAGCCATGACATTTATGTAATGCATTAAAATTCACAAAGTACTTTATGTGTATTATCTTATTTGACCTTCATAACAAAACTGTGGGTTCGGTACTTCACTTTGGGTGGCTCTGCGAGCTCATTGATTGAAGTATTCCTTCCAACAATGCAGATCTCACGCCATCAATGGCCTTGAATCTTCGTCCTTGTCCTCTTATAAATAGTCTGTAGGAAGTCCACCCCTGTATCCTGGGGACCTCTTAATTTCTTGATGTTTCCTGTATACCAATGGGGCACAAGGCCTTTCCAGTGTCTAATGGTTACCTCTTACTCTTCCCCATATTATTTCTAATCACGTATCACTAAGGAATTGTGTGTGTGTGTGTGTGTGTGCGTGTGTGTGTGGACAGCATAGTTATTTTTATCCACATTTTACAGATGAGAAAACTTGGTATCTTTCAGGTTATGTGATTTTGTCATGGTTGTGAGAGGACGAATTCAGTCTCAGGCCTTCCTATGTCCAAGACTAGTGCTTTTTCTCCATGACATGCTTTCTTGCCTCTCACTTACTACCTTATGCGGATATTAGGGTAATAAAAGACTGAAGGTTCATAATGGGACAGGGATAGCGTGGAAAAACCTCATTAGAAGTGCAGCTATGGCAACCAAGTAAAATGGATTTGTTGTTTCTCGGTCACGTCCCATTCTTCATGACCCCATTTATGGGGTTTTTTTTGGCAAAGAAACTGGAGTGGTGTGCCATTTCCTTCTCCAGATTAATTGGTTGATGATAAACTGAGACAAATAGGGTTAAGTGACTTGCCCAGGGTCACACAGCTCATAAGTATCTGAGGTCAGATTGGAAGTCCAAAAGATGACTCTTCCTGTCTCCAGGCCTAGTACTTTATCCACTGTACCACCTAACTGCCCCCAAATGAGTTTAGAACACATTATTATTAACTATAAATTAAACACATTTTATAGTAAATCATCAAATTTACAGTAAAATTATACATTATTAACTATAAATTATTAACTATAAATCTTTCTCATGGGATCATAGAATTTTGAGCTGAAATGGATAAGATCATCTAACCCATTTTTCATATTATGTTGTATATCAGGGCTTCCTAAACTTTTTCCACTCATGACCCCTTTTCGATTTTGGCAGTGTTTGTTGGGGTTGTATGGCCTGAGGGCATATGTAGCACAAAGGGTGCATGCTTTGTGTTCAGAACCAAGGATACAGTGAAGTTGCAGAATGCAACACAGGCAAGCCCTGCTAGAAACACCTCAGATTCCTTACACATTTGATTTTTAATTATTTCTGGTTGTTGTGGGTTCAGAAACCTTTTACTGTTGCTAAATTTTTCCCGACCCCATATGGGGTAGTGACCCACAGTTTAAGAAGTGCTGTTGTGTTATCATCTTATTACTTCCAGTTTTTGTTGATACCTGAAAGGAAGATGTTCCCTAACATAGAACAGAGCCATATGATCTGAACCCTCCCCTTCAGTTTGAAATACATTGCTAGGCTAAGATTCTCAAAATTTCCAACAGTTTCTGCAAAAGCATGGAGGGGGAGAAGAAAACATTAGGGGGTTTGGGAAAGAACTAAGAAATGCATGCAGTGTTTTAAATTATTATTAAGAATTTTCCCATTGAGAAGGAACATCGATTTCTAAAGTAGCAGTGGCTAATACAGTGTACCATGCAGTAATAATATAGATTCAGAAATAAAAAACTATTATAAGCACTAAAGAGGGCAGAGTGACCGAATAATTTAGAGCTGGTAAATCATAATGGATAAAGTGTTTAATCTTAGTGATGATTCACTGTGAACTTCTCAAAAATTGGTGTGGCATAAAACTTTTAAAAGTTCTCCACTACATTAATATACTTCTTGGTACGCATCCTTCAGCTGTATTTAGTAACTAAAGAACTATTTTGGGCATAGTACATGTGGTGTTCTTGAAAGAGCATCTTGAATAACAATATATAACAATTAAGTATTTATAGGTCATTTTCTAATTAGCTTAGATTGTTCATATGCATTATTACTTTTTTCTTCAAAAAATATGTGATTTACATTAAGGGCATCCAATTATTTCTGAACTACTGGTTCTATTATCCACTCTCTATGCATTAGCAAAGGCAAGTAGTACAGTAGAAACATTATTAAGATGAAATGAAAATAAATTTAAGTTTTGGCATAACCATAACTAGGGTGGAGCCCCAGAGCATTTGCCTCAAGATGCTAAATTTAGAGGTTAATGAATTTAGAGGGCCCTGACAGCATTTGCAATCCTTCAGGAGGAGCAGAGAAACAACATAGCTTAGCAGCTAATTAGAAAGAATAGTGAAAATAGAACTCTATTGGATGGCATCATATCTCTTCTCTCCCTGTTCTAGGTTACCCCCTCCAAACTCACAAGAGCCCCACCAATAGGAGCATTATATTTCTGCACAGGAGTTTTTGTCCATTCCTTATCCACTCATTTGAAGAGGCTTTCTGTGCTATTTTTTTTCTTTTTTAAAATCTTATTTAATATTTTATTTTTCCCAAATACATGTAAAAACAATTTTAACATTCTTTTTTTCAAATTTGGATTTTCAAATTCTCTCCCTGTCCCCCTCCCCATTGAGAAGGCAAGCAATTTGACGTAGGTTATACATGTATAGTCATGCAAAACACGATTCCATGTAAGTCATGATGTGAAAGAAAACACAGTTAAAAAAAAACACAAGAAAAATAAAGAAAGTAAAGAAAAGGTATTCAGCTTCTACCAGTTCTTTCTCCGGAGATGGACAGCACCTTTTACCATTAGTTCTACTCAATTGTCTTGAATTGTTGTATTGCTGAGAATAGCTAAGTTATTGATAGTAAATCATCACACAATAATGATACTACTATGTACAATGTTCTCCTGGTTCTACTCATTTCACTTCATATCAGTTCATGTAAGTCTTTCCATGTTTTTTCAGCAAACATCCTGCTCATCATTTCTAAAAGCACAATAGTATTCCATCACAATCATATACAACAGCTTGTTCAGCCATTCACCAATTGCTGGATATCCCCTCAATTTCCAATTTTTTGCCACCACTAAAAGACCTGCTATAAATATTTTTAGACACATGGGTCCTTTTCCTTTTTGTTTCTTTTTTATCTCTTTGGAATACAGACCTACTAGTGGTATTGCTTGGTCTAAGGGTATGCATGGTTTTATAGCCCTTTGGACATAGTTCCAAATTGCTCTCCAGAGAGGCTGAATCTGTATTTAATGTCACCAATAGTATATTAGTGTTTTATTTTTCATATCTCCCTCCAAAATTTGTCATTTTCCTTTTCTGTCATATTAGCCAATCTGACAGATATGAGGTGGTACCTCAGAGTTGTTTTAATTTGCCTTCTCTCGTCAATAGTGATTTAGAGTATTTTATATGACTATAGATAGCTTTGATTACCTTGTCTGAAAGTTGCCTGTTTATATCCTTTGACCATTTATCAATTGAGGAATGGCTCTTATTTCTATAAATTTGACTCCATTTTCTATATGTTTGAGAAATGAAGTCTTTATCAGAGAAACTCACTGTAATTTTTTTTCACAGCAATGATTACCAACTATGTATTTCCCTCGATTCTACTTTCCCTGTTTATCCTGCTCTCTCTCTCATTTTACTCTGTTCATTCTCTAAAGTGTTTTGCTTCTGACTTTTAATTTTATCTCCTCCAAACTTCCCTCTCTTCTATCAATCCCCCCCTTCTCTTATCTCCTTCCTTTCCTGCTTTCCTGTATGGTAAGATAGTTTTCTATACCCAACTGAGTGTGTATCCAATTCCCTCTTTGCGCCAATTACAAGAAAAGTAAGGTTTTTGTGCAACCCTCCCCACTTCCTCCATTTTCCCCTCCACTGTAAAATCTCTTTCAGGCTTCTTTTATGACAGATAACTTATCTCATTCTCCCTTTCCTTTTCCCCTTCTTCAAGTATATTCTTCTTTCTCAATGCTTAATTTAATTTTTTTTTGATTATCATAGCATAACATTCACTCACACCTCTGCTTTCTGTCTATGTGTATTCCTTCTATCTGCCCTACTAATTAAAAAGTTTTTAGGAGTTATAAATATAATTTTCCCTCATAAGAATATAAACACTTTAACCTTACCAAATCCCTTATGATTTCTCTTTCTGTTTACCTTTTTATGCTTCCTTTATATCTTGTATTTGAAAGTCAAATATATACATAGTTAGAAAAATTTCTGGGCATTGTGCTATGTTTTTTTTTAAACTTTTGCCTTATCATTTTGTAGATTCTCCTGAGTTTGTTTGTTGCTGTTATTTTGGACAACCTCGAGCTTGATGAAGATCTAAAGAAACTTAAACAAGTAAGCAATATTTCTGGGCTATCTGGTTATTTCTATTAATATTTCCATTTTCAAGAAAATAAATGTTTCATGATTCATAGCTGTATATCATCACTGAGAGAATTTGAGTCTTAAAAAAGCTGGATTTTTGAAGTCCTGAATAATGTTGGAAACTGAAAGTGCTGTCCAACCTCTCCAAAGAGATCCAACCCAATCACCTACTGAGTTATGGCACCAGCTAATTATCCACTTGCAATGCCAGTCCAAAAGAGAAATGAAGGAAAGTAAAAGATGAGGTTGTATCCATATCATCTAAAGAATATATATTTTTTATCTCCTTTGTGTTTCCATTGTGGGTGGTTAGACTTCTTTTGCTGTGTGTATATCAATAAGCACATTTGGTACCATTAGTATGCTTATATCTGTGATGAAGAATATTTGGAGCACGCTACTATTAATAGGTAATTCTTTTGTTTGGACTCTGTGAAGGTCTTCTATCACACTGGCGAACATGAACGTATTCTTAAGATCTTTACTTTGAATTGTTAGCTAAGATAAATTAGAAAGTTGTTAAAAATTAGAAAAATTATTTTTGATAATAGAAGGAATGGGGTACTGACTCATTTACAATGTTTCATTATACAGAAGACATTGGAGAGTAGGCAAATCAGCCCCAATTTTATACTAAGTCTATTATACTAGCTTTATCCTTTAAAAACTCTTACTCATAAATCTGAGAAAACTCTTTTGGATGATCAGTCCTGCTCAACCTATCTGACAGCACTTGGGAAAAAAATTGTTGTAAAGAATAACATTCCCTAGACATAACCGATTTTGATTAATGTGAAAACCTCTAATATGTTTTGGGATATTCAGTGACTAGCTTTCACTTCTAATATACAAAATGTAGCCATAAATAATTTAAATTTTTGATTCATATTTTATTTTCAGTACTCTTGATCACTTTCAAAATTTACCTTCTTTTTTAATTAATTAATATTCATCTTCAAGTTTATAGACTACTGGACCAAATTAAATTTTGAATATTGCCTTATACTTCGTTATACTTCAGGGTAGTAAATGTCATATGGTTCTAATTACCAAAAGAAATTATGTTTTCAAAAAGTGTTTTAGGTTATTCTTAATTAAGCAATGGAACGGGTGCATATATGTGTATGTATGAAAATTGTAGGTTGTCCTTACGTATCATCATAGATAGTGGTTCCAGAAAGCTTCTTTCCTACTAATTTAGTTATTTGAAAATCTGCAAAGCTGAACAAAGATTTCTTACTTTTCAGATTAGCTTCAACTGGAGTGGGGTGGGGGGAGAGAAAAACCAATTAAAAAAAAACTTTTTCCAGGGGTTACACTTTGAAATGAGATCTGATTTGACTAATGGTAGTCCTAAATGTCAATGTCTTGCCCATTCACTTGCATTGGGTGATAAGTATTAGTTTATAACCTTTCTCTAACTCTTTTTAATAAGATATCATATCTGGAATTTTATACAAGTGCCTATATAATTATCTGTAACTGTTCCTGGTGATAACAAGAAATAGAATTCTCTAAAATGCCTAACCTACTACATTACATATTTATGACTGCCAGGGTCAAAAGTGTATAATAGAGAAGGCATTCTAAGGTTAAATTACCAAAAAAAAAAAGTTTCTACGCACAATGAGACTTTAGCCTGTTGATTTGAGGACCAAGAGCAAACCCTAATGCACCATCTCTTTACCTGGCATTCTGGTCTCTAATAGGGCATCCACTTTAGATACCTTAAACCTAGTCTCTGGGCATCCTAATCCTTTATTTGGTCATCTGTCCAGCTCTTATAATCCTGTCCTGGTATCCACTAAAAGAAAAATGATTGGCGTGAAGAGAAATGCTTCTTTATCTATTCAAAAGATGGTAATAAGGCATTTGCTGTGCTTGAGGCATGCTGGACAGAATTTGAAGGGATATAGAATTGTTTTAAGAATATAGTATTTTTTCCTCCAGCCGTTCTCAAATACTGGCAACAACAACCAAAAACTTGGTCACAGTAGCAACAGTCCAGAACATCTTCAGTATCACCGAAGTAAATATATTATAAAGTCTTTACAACTTTGCCAAAATGTACTGACAGTTTGTCTATTGGAATTTGGCCATAACTTAATGCAGATATATTCAAAAAGGAACTTATTCTTGTCTAACAGCACCCAGGCTAAGCTTTCCAAATCCAATTATAGAATATATTTTAAGTTATGTATTTTCCTATTTATCATTTTCTGAACTGTGTTAAGCTACACAGATTTTAAATAACCAGTGGGGGGAAAATGTAATTAGAATGTGCATTTGTGCTGTAGATACAATGAAAACAATTTCAAGTTCCAGTATTCATTGGCCCTCAATGATGCTTTCACATTTGTAAGCCTAAGGTTTTTTTAGGAAGCAGGAAAATAAATCAACCCAATAATTTGGGCTTCAAGTGTATCTATTGAAACTAACTTTAGAATTTCTCTAGTGTTGAGCCTTTCTTCAGTATTTCAGTTTGATATAATTTACTAGCAGACACAACACCCAACCTGGGACCTGACATGTACCAGATGCTCAGAAAATTTTTGTTGAATGAAAGGTAAATCAATATGCCCCCTAGAATTGAAAGATCAACAGTCAGAGAATTTAAGACTTTAGATGATAATGAGACTTGCTTCCTGGACCATAAAATTGTAATGCACTGTGTGCTGTATTACTTTGAGAATAACTCATCTGTTACATCTCATGAATAAATTGGTTAACTTCTGGATAGCTCTCGATGATGCTTTGTGTTTGAGAGAATGGGGAGCTACTGTGCATATAACCAATTACTCTTGCCCATAGTGTCAAGAACCTTCTTCACATACATACAACCATTTGATCATTGAAAAAAGCACAATAAGAAATAACGCAACAGCAACAAAAAATTTTGAAGCCAGAGATTGTTTTGGCTTTTTCTTTGTATCTCCAGTGCTTAGCCCAGTTCTTGGCATAATTTTCTTCATAATGTTTACTGATTGCTGGCTTGCTGCTTGCTACTTCATATTATTTTTTGTTTAATAATTGAGCTGAAACTATGTATCTACTCAGATGTTTGGAAGTGATTTATATTTCCTACAGTTATCATTTTCATATATTTCCTCTCAGTTATCTTTAAAAGAGGTATGGATCTATACACTATTATAATTTAAAATGTCCCTGGTCCTCTCTTTTACCAGCCTTGTTGCTAGTTGGTAATGATTCTGACCTTTGTTATATGATTTATTTAAAGGATTTGAGTGCTAAGACTCATTAACACATTGGAAACAGGAAAGTTTGAAGGGTTCCTTTTTTTGTTCATTTATGACCTCTCAGAAATCTTCTGTAAAGTTGTACTCAATTATACATTATTTTATTATCAAGCTAAAGACATTTCATTAAAGTCTTAAATGTGTACAATCTATACGGTTATTGACATTCAGAAATAATTAGTTTGGGAAGAGTAGGAAAGGAAATATGCTGATTTTAGCTATAGAAGACAGTTATATTTATGCAAGGTCTTCCAAAAATCTTAGTGCAATTTTAAGCTATAAAAGTTTTAATATATTAATATAATCATATTTATGTAAAGCTTTATATTAATATGAAAAGTTAGTATTGTCTTTATACTAACTCTTTAATACCTACATACATATATACATACACACATATGAATATACTTTTAAATTAATATCTATGTTTTCTATATAGTCAGCAATGTTTCAGTTCTGTATATCTTCCATATTGTCTTCCTCTCCATTAACCCCTGAGCCCAGAGAGTACTTCTGAATAAAACTAAACAAATTCCAGTATACTATAGTGTTAAATGTTGGCTTTTTTGGATATGTTTTTGATGCACACTCATTTATACTTGTGCTTCCCTGATCATTATGCACACCATAGCTGTTGATTAAAGGGACAAATTTTCCTAAAGAAAGTGTGCAAAAGGAAAAAAAAACTTTGGAATGAGGTATTCATCCAATAGCTACCCAGCAAAAGGATGTGCCCACACAATCTTTGCAAAGAAGGTCACAGGATACTATGCCTAATCTGATGTAATTTTCATACTTCCTATAAAACTAGATAACTGAATTTATAGTAAATAAACCTATTAGCACTTATATTACATATAAAATATTCTATAAGATTTCAGACAGCTGCCTTTATCATAGTTGCTTCACAAGGCTAGAGACACATGGTATGTTTTGTAGTTTCTTCTCTATTTGTAGCCCAATGATAAAAATTACTTCTCTGATATTTTCCAGTATATGTAAGAGTGAAAAAGTAGTTTAATTTTTTTTCCAGTGTGTCCCATACTTCTACTTATGTATTTGTATAAATTATTATGAATTGTCAGATGGCAGAATCAAAGACTCATTATAATCATCAACAGAAGCAGCAGCAACAGAACAATGTAACAAATACAGGCTATGCCACAAGAAACTCTCAATATGTTGAAAGGGTCTAGGTCCTAGGATAATTTCTAAACTGAGGAAAGAGATGAATTTCAGTTGGGTGAAGTGAGTCTGTGTTACCAAGATCCACGTCAGTCATGCCCTAACATGACATGAAGATGCCACTCAAGGAATTACAGTTAGAGAAGTGGATATGAGAATGCAGAAACTAGCTGAAGAGCGTAAGAAATAACAGCACAAAGGAGGAAAAGATGCAGGAGAAAATGGAAGATAAAGTTCTGTGGCTTTGGAGACAGCCCATTGAAAGATGCAAGAAGAGACTGTTCAGTATGCTTAAATCCAGAGAGAGAAAAGGCACATCTTTTTTTGTTTGTTTGTTTGTTTCATTTTTAGGCAATTGGGGTTAAGTGACTTGCCCAGGGTCACACAGCTAGTAAGTGTGAAGTGTTTAGTCTGAGGCCGGATTTGAACTCAGGTCCTCCTGACTCTAGGGCCAGTGCTCTACCCACCGCACCACCTAGCTCCTGAAAATGCACATCTTCAAAGAAGGTCACATGATACTATGCCTAA